CCTTTCCAGTGTGTACTGCTCGCTGTTCTGTCACTGTTGCTGAGCTGCCTTCAGCAGCTACAGTTCTTTTAGGAGCTCTTCTCCTTACCCCACCCCCTACAGCCTTGTCAACACCCTGGCCAATGATGCAAAAGCTGCCTTCCCCAGGAGAGCAGAGCCAGGTCGCATCAAGGCCAGGACTCACCTGGCTCTGTCACCCACAAGCCCTTTGCCCAGCCAGTCATGAGCACTATCTCTTCTCTTTTCACCCAGTCCCGACTCCTCCCTCAGCTGCTTGCATCTTTAGCACAAACTGTGACATGCTTTTCAAATAAACTGCAAAGACACATCCAAAATAAAACACAACTACTCACAGGTGTTCGAACCCGTCCATCTGTTAGAGTCACCACTGAGATTGGGAAGATGACTGGTCTTCCAATCAGATAACACAGGACTGAGAAATAGAGCCTCCGTGCAACTTGGAACCACTGGTGGTGGCCATGCCTGAGATGGCCTAGCCATGAGGAAAAAGCCCCCTTCCCTATCTGCTGTTGCATGACGCCTAAGGCTGGAGGGTACAAGGAGTTCTGAGAGCTCACGGACAGGCTGCTGGCTTGTGCTTGTCACTGCTGAGGGTACGACAGTGCCACAGGACAGGAAAACATGTAAAGGAGCACGTGGTGAGAACACATAGTGGGAAAGCACATAGTGGGAACACACGTGGGATGGCCACGCGGCACAAACACATGTGGGAGAAGCATGTAGCAGACAGGATAAAGAGGCTGTGGAGGGGTCAGGCTCGCAACCCTCATGACCAGCATGTATCAGATGTTCTCAGGGCTAGGCCTTATCACTCCACTGCCTCTCCTCACATTCACAGGACATGACCCTCCCAGAGTCGCCCTCAATCACAGCAGGCAGGAACACCAAGTTCCTCCAGGACTAGTCACCACTGGTTCTTCACCTGCCATGGAACAGAGAGCCCCAGGTCTCATCTGCAGTTAGGAGGAAGGGGCATGTTGGCCATCCCCACACCATCCTAGTCTGAATCTGGCTGGGCTCTGCTGAGGAGAAAGCAGCACTGGTCAAGGGCAAGGAGCAGATGAGAGCAGCAGATGCCTCAATGCTTCCCTGTAGGAACACATAAAATGAACAGAGTTAAAATGAAAACATATTCAGGTCAAAACCCGGCCAGCGTTGCGGCACAGGTTAGGCGATGCTAAGCATTCCACTTGAGAGCAGGTTCATGCCCGGGCTGCTGTGCTTGCCATTCAGCTCCCTGTTAATGCACCTGCCCCCACATGGGAGACCAAGGTGGCCTTCCAGGTTCTTGGTGGTTGTGGCCATTTGGAGAACGACCCAGCAGATGGAAAATCATTCTGTATCTCTCCCTAACTCTGCCTCCAAATAAATAAATCTTTAGAAAATAACTCTAGTCTTTGATTTTTGTGTAAGAAAATCAAAACAACTCCAAGAAAATAAATTCTTCCTCAACTATCTCCAGATGTACCCCCAAGCAAGAGTGGCCCCCTTTCCAGAAGCAGATAGGCTACAGCAACTACAAGAGAGCCACAACTGCTCTGATCCAAAAGGCTGTGAGCATCATCGAGGTCTGAATTCTGGAGAATTATGGATTTCTGATTTGAGGGTAAGAGGTATTCAACTGGAAATATCTATGCAAAAGTTACAAAATCTGAAACGCTACAAACTTGGAAACCACTTCTGATCTCAAGCATTTAGGGTAAGGGACTCTCAACCTGCAGAATGTATCATGTGCACATACACAGAGCACACACAGGATACTCAACCTGTAGGATGAATCATGCACATGTGTACATGCAGAGGACAATCTGCCTGACGTCACACACACAGGACACTCAACCAGTATGATGTATCATGTATACACTTGCGCACACACAGAACACATGCACAGCTTGCAAACAAGAGACACCCGTGTGGGGCTGACTACATGCAAAATTCACCTTGGTGAGAGACAATGTAGAACAGCTGAGCTCCACTGAGATGTGGCAGGAAAAGGTTGACTCAGCAGACCAGGGCCACTCAGCCCTAGCACAGTCCCCACAAAGCTCCACTCCAGGCTTGGGGATGTTCTGCCTGAGCGTGGAGTTTTTTATAGCTGGGCCTTCAGCCACGCTGTGTCAATCTGACCAAACGAGTCAAAGCTGACACCGAGTCAGCTGAAGTCAGGCCCACCTGACGCCACCAATGTTTGCCCTCTGCCAGCCTGGCTCAAGCTTGTGCCATAGGGCACACCCTCCAAGGTGAGCTTCTTTCTGATGGGGAAAGCCACTCACAGCACTCAAGGCAACAACATCACTGAAAACACCTCAGGGAACTGACACTGCAAGGTGCAGGGCTCCCTTCTGTTGAAAGCAGCTTGTTGTGTCTGCAGGGACACTCCCATTTTCTCTTAAGTATTCGCATCACAAGACAAGTACAAAACCCTACCTGCATCTGAGGGAAAGAGCTAAAAATGGAACCCACAGCACTTTTCTGACAACCTACCATCCCAGCGGCTGTGGCGCCTGAGTCTCAAATCCCAGGAGCTCTGCAACCAGGGCCACACCCTGCTTCCCTGCCCAGGCACTGGGGGCTTGGGTGTTGTGGGCTAATAAGTTGACTAGCATTTGTTAAGCTTAGTACCTGCAGGAAATGAGCTTGAGGCTAGTGGCACCTGGTCTATCAGACTCATTGGCATCCTATTGTTCTGCCAAGGGGCTTGGGGGAAAAGTATACGGCTGAATAAAGGGAGGCCGGAGAGAGACCTCTTCCACCACTACTGGTCTCCCGTCGGTGGTGTTTCATTCCCAGACTCTCGCCGTGTCCACGTTACTGGCTCTGCTGGCCGGTGCACTTGGGAACACCATCACCTCAGCAGTGCCCTCTCCTCACTGGAAACCCAAGCTCCCTACAAACACAAGCTTGTCTCTGACTCAATGAGTACTTACTACATGGACGACTATCAGGAAGAAACAAGAAAACAAGAGCATGCTGTGTGAATCGCAGACAGCTGTGGACAGCACTTGGCCCTCAGACGCCATCATTAGACCAGGTCCCCACCCGTCATGCATCACCCATAACATAAAGCTCCAGGGTTCCAACTCCTGCCCAAGCTGGGGAGTGGAACCCTGCCCAGCCCACAGCAGGCCTGGACTGTGAGGTCCAGGGCACAGCAGGGAGCAGCAAGCAGGCGGCTGCACGCCCCGTGGGGCTCCTCGGCAGCGGTGAGACAGCAACAACTGCAGGAACCATGACACACAGCGCAGACCCAAGCCACATCCCTAAGCTTCCCTTACAGGGAGGGAAGCCCCGGGCAGGGCGGCACCACCAGGCGGCTGGCAAGGTGGGCCCCTCACAGGGCTGGCCCACGCATCCTCCCACCACTGACTCGCTTGGCTCTCCCGACGCCCCGGCCAGGGCTGAAGGCCACACAGGTCTCTGAGTCCCCATCTGACCAGAAGCAAGCCTGTGGGACGCGTGAGCACGACACACAGCAGGGCGCTGTCAGGACTACAGCCCGACACCGCCCCCAATGCCTGCTGTCAATCTTAGTGAGGCAAGGCCAGTCAGAACGCGTGTGCCCCCCTTTCACCCCAGACGCCGGCCCGGGCGAGGGACCGGAGCCCGCCTTTCCGCCACCAACCCCACTCCGGGGTCCTCTCGGCTGTCCCGGGCGCACGCTGCAGTTCCCGTCCGCCGCCCCGGCACTCGGCGGGCGCGCACGAAGCCCGAGGACGGCGGACCGCACGACGAGCCCGGGCCACGCCGCCCGGCCCCGCGCCCCCCACGGAAGGCGCCGCGCCCCCCGACGGAAGGGGCCGGGTAGGCGCCGGGGACGGAGGCCTCACCCGGGGCACCTCCGCAACCGGGCCGGCCCCCGCCGCGTCGCTATGGCGACGAGCGCCCCGCCCGCGCGCCCGCTCGGCCGTTCTCGCGAGAGCGGCGTTGCGCGTCACTTCCGCGCGCGGCCTGCCTTCCGGCAGCGCAGGCGGACGTGAGGCTCGGGGCTCCGCGGCGCCCGTGACGGCCTCGGCCGGCCGAGCGGCCCCCGCCATGGCCGCCGCCCGGAGGGGCTCGCTGCTGCCGCTGCTGCTGCTGCTGCTGGCCTGGCAGGCCGCGGCGCCGGCCGGCTGCGCGCACGACGACGACGACGACGAGGTGCCGGCCGAGTGGCTGCTGCTGCACGTCGTCCAGGGCCACGTCGGCGCCGGCAACTACAGCTACCTGCGGCTGAACCACGAGGGCAGGGTCGTGCTCCGCATGCGCAGCCTGCGCGGGGACGCCGACCTCTACGTGTCGGACCGCACGCTGCACCCGAGCTTCGACGACTACGAGCTGCAGTCGGCCACCTGCGGCCGCGACGGCGTGTGCGTGCCCGCGCGCTTCCGGCGGCCCGTGGGCATCGGCGTGTACGGGCACCCCTCGCACCGCGACAGCGAGTTCGAGATGAAGGTCTACCTCGACCGCACCGCGCCCGGCGAGCCCGCCGCCCCCGCCGGCCCCGAGCCCGCGCCCGCCGACGAGGACTCGGTGCTCTGGACGCTGGCCATCGGCGTCCTCAAGCTGCTGCTGGAGCTGCTCTTCTGAGGGGACGCCGGCCGGGGCGTCCGTCCTCCGGCTGCCGGGGCTGCTCCTCCGCGGGGACGCCGGCGTCCGTCCTCCTGCTGCCGGGGCTGCTCCTCCGCGGGGTCGCCGGCCGGGGCTGCTCCTCCGCGGGGACGCCGGCCGGGGCGTCCGTCCTCCTGCTGCCGGGGCTGCTCCTCCGCGGGGACGCCGGCCGGGGCGTCCGTCCCCCGGCTGCTCCCGGAGCGCCCCTCGCCAGGGCCACCCCACGCGAGCGGGTGGGGAGACTGCAGGAACTTGGCACCTGAGGACGCTACCACTGTAGCTTTTCAGCAAGACAGTGCTTTCTGTACACTTCCTGAGCCCGGACTTCGGCAGGCATTCGTAAACGTTAGGGTTTTCCACCAGTTAGCATCAACCCAGTCTCCAGCCACAAGTTTTTCTTTTTGCATCCTGGACTATTGAAAGTTCTTGTTATTAAATTCCTTTGTTATTCTACCTGTGGTGGGCCAGAAGCAAAATTAGGAAAGCTTCACGAAACTAGGCAGTTCTCGAGCCAGTGGAGGCACAGCTCAGTATTTTCAGTCGGGTCGTTACATTTGTCGCCTGGGTTTCTGCAGGGAACACTGAGATAAAAAAAAATCCCTTGGAAGATAGATTATTTTTCTACCTGAAATTACTTTCAAGAGTAAGAACAATTTATAATGAAATAAATCAGCTTGCAGATTTTAAGTTCACAGTTATTTTCAAAAAATCTCTTTATTAGCGTAAAAACGAAAATGTAAACTGGCACCAAATATTCCACATAAATGCATATGCGGTGTGACAGACTATTTTATCCCTCTTTGCTGCTTTTCCCCCTTCTGCCCACTTTCCTGGGTGTTGGGGGGGCTCGCTGACAACAGTCACAAATCCAGCGACCTAGGAGAAAAATTAGTTAATATTCAATGAAATGTTGTTTTTACAGGACTGATTTAAGCCCTCCTTATCTGTCACTCATGACCGTCTCCTATACCTTTGCAGTGTAAGGACACTAATACTTCTAAACTTCCACTGAAACAATCTTGTAATCGGTGTCATGCAGAGGGTAAAATAATGCTATGCACATGAACCCTTAAAAAATGACTAGAGAATCCTTGCCCAAATCCAAACACTACCAAACGTTAAAAATCCAGTTAATATAAAGCCTAAACTAAAACCTGCCTCTGAATTTGACTTTTTGGAAGCTTTGTTCTCCTTCTGCCACACTGCCCTGCTGTACCACACCTGCACGGCACTTGGCTGTCCAGGAGTGAACTGCACTGTACACCTGAGCTGAGTCACTACAACTGCTCACCGATTCCCAAGAAACTTAGCTATTGGCGCATGAAGTACTGTTTAGGGCTAACTATGCAAGGAAGTTCTAAAATTACAGCTAGGTGTGTAATGTTTCAGTCCAGTTATTGTGATTTCAGTTCTGTGTTCATGCAAAAGCTGTCTGGAATTATGCTGCCTCAATTTATAGAAACCTGGCTTAGTATGTTATGGAAGTAAAGTAGTCATTAATTTTCCAAGTAATGACTTATGAAAATAAAATCAAGGTTTTGAAATGGACTGTTTTCAGATACTTCCATGGGAAATACCAGCTCACTCTTAGTCAATAGGACGTCACAGCTGGATATGTAGGGATGAAAAAGCAAGTGGGCAGGGCCTGGGAAACTCTGGTCCTATCTGAACAGGATCGACAGGCTCATCATGCCACACTCAAGTCTTTACCTGATGGAATAGCACCAAGGCCCACACAAAAAGTATGATAACCTCTGTCACACACATCACAGAACATCATCTCTTCCTCGTGGTGGGGCTGTCCACACACAATGCATGTTTTACATTCCATACATTGCCATGGGTAGGTCTTAATCATAGAAACAAGCTCCATGGTCATGTCCAGGCAGGAAGGATGGCCTAAATCAAAATCAGTGTTAGTATTTCACACAAGAATGTCAACTTCATATGGCATATAAAATAGGAGGCTGCTGCAGGAGTTGTCAAGAATGGCTCACATTTAATCACCAGAGAAATAAAAACACAAGGACTTTGCCTCTCAAGTAAGCTGAATTTTTGGTTGAAGTCTAGCAGACAATGATAAATTATAGTTTTTGAAGCAAAAAAGTTACCATCGTAAGAAGACATGGGCGTACTTACCACTGTTCTCACACTGGGAGCAGTGTATGAGAGCCTCAGCCTTTCCTCTCTTGTTGGACTCCTTACCCTTCAGACAGATCCCACATATAGCATTTGGAATGACCTTTGGCTGGAAGGGCAGAAGAGGGCTATGAATGTGTGTCAGACGAGCTTATGTGGGTTCAAAGGAACTGTTACTTCATTGCCTTATCTTTACCAGAGAGAATCTGACAGCAGTCAGTTAACATTAGGACTTACTGACCAAAGCCTTAGGTTTAATTTTAAAATTCTGTAAACATGATGTAATGTTCAGATTAAATGTAGCATTTTACACTCCCTACATGCACAGTAAGATCTGTATAATGAATGAACTTGAAGCAAGAATAAATACAATGTCAAGTGTCCATTAACTGGAAGTAAATCATGATTCAAATGACCATTACATGAAAGTTAAGATTATTATAAAGGACTTACTTTTTAGGCAGTTTTATATATTGACTGCTGGTATTTTCCAAAGTCATAAAATAGATTTGTTAAGATAAGATTTGTTAAGACAATTATTTGTTTAAAATGTTTTCAAGATAAAAATCAACATTTTTAATTGAAAATATCTCATTCATATTCTGTTAACATTTCATAAATGTTTATGGGAAACTGAGTTTTGTGACTTTTGTAATAAAAGAACCTACACTAAAGAAAAAAGCATTCACTATGAGATGCAAAACAAAAAGAGAAACAAAAAACAAGGTTTCAAACAAGCAAAACACTGTATTCACTTAAAAATCCACACTCCTATTTTGAGCACCACTTCTATTTCATAGTAAAACACACATGGTCCAGGGAAGCCCTGTAGGCAGCACAAGGGAAAGGACAGAGAAACACGAACAGAGAGGGTGGAGGCCTGGACCGCTGCTGTAGGCCACCCCCACGTTACGGTGCCAAAACCAGCAGAAAAGACAGCAAGTGGGGCAGACAACAAAATGGGCCCAAGAGGCATGTTCACTTCTGTCTTACTCCAACACAGGCAAATTCTCAGTATTTCTCTGTCCTAAATTACAGAGCCAAACAGGACTCTGAATAAAACTAGTAACAACTTTGTATTCAACATTCCAGCTTTGAAATATCTCACTGCCTCTTTCATGATCTAAATAACTTAATCCTAATTCTTTTAAAATTCTCTTTCTTTGCAAAAGATGACAGAGGCATTCAAAAAGAATTTTTGGCTTATTTATTTAGAAAAAAATCAATCTTACACATAATAAAAACAATAACTAAACAATGACAAATGTCTACAAAATAATAAATATCATGGCAATTGAACATACATATAAAACATTTTCATTAACTATTCTACATCTCCTACATGTACCTTCGCACCCTGCTCCCCTCAACAAGACAGTGTCACATGCTCAAACCTTTCAAGTCTTGTAGTGTAGCAGCCCTCTGTGGTTCCTACTGCATTCTAAATGTAAGGGTCTCTTCATGTGTTCTACATCTAAGTAAAAAGTAGCTACGAAATGCTCTTCTGTAATCCAAAATCTAGTTCAGTTGCAATCTAACCTGCTAATTACCATGATGGAACAGCAGCAAGCTACCACTCAATCCACCAAACAGGTGCGCCACTGACTCCACACTTGTCGTCTAAGTTAATGCTCATACGATAAGTACTCTCTTAGCTTTGACTCAAGTCAGGATGTCATCATACAACAACAAATTCTAAGGAGAACTATTCATAGAAGATACTTTACAAAACAAAATTCAAAGGAAATAAAATACAACACTAGTCATTCACATTCCAGTGCCCTTCAAGTTCTATAATCATTAGATATGACACCTGCAATAGAGGGGGACACTAAGAAAATTTAGGCTTACTTTCAAGCCCAAATCATGTTTGTCAAACCACTTGAAATTTTTCTTACCCAATCCGACATCTTCATCTTGATCATAAGAGGGAGAGTGGAGAAGAGGGGAACAGAGAGCTCCAGGACACTTGCTACGACAATGCCTCAACACTCAGACAAAAGGACCCCATTCGGTCCCAACCTTGTGAGAAGCCGTGTGCCTAACCCAGATCCCTGTGCACCCACTATGAGCATGGCTGGGAAGTTAGTATCCATTCACAAACAGAAGAGTTGAGAGGCAGGAGGGAAAGGAACAGGGAGAACCCTGCGGAGATGAAGGGAGCAGAGGCCTAGTGTGTGTGACGGAGACCTAGCTATGCTGACGAGAAAACCACACTACCAGTCCACTTACATGAGTCCTTCATGGTAGCTCTAGCAGAGTGTAGACTTCAATTACATGCTTACAGGCCTGAATCCTAACAATTATGCCTAATTTCAGGTTAATATAACCTAAGCAATACTGTCCTACAAATTAAGGGCAAGCACTAGTGAATCTTACTAAGCAATACATCAAGATACATTATCATTTTTATTTAACACTCATATTTTAAAACATAAGTATGACCTTCAAGTTTGAAGTAACCTAATATGGAGGCACATCCTGGCTTATTAATACTTTTTATAGACAGCTTAACTCTTAATAAACTTGTTCACATTAACGTCTAGATACTGGCAGTTCCCATCTGAAATACCAGCTGATAAATTATACTACTTTGTAGTCAATGATAGAATTGAACAGTTCCTCATTTGCAACCTGTATTAAACATCTATTTCAAAATTATCTTTTTCAATCCATGATGAACAGACTCACTGTCCAAAAGCCCTGTTTACAGTGAAGAGTTAACACAACCATGCTTCGAGCTGCCACTCCCACTTGGATCTCTCATGAGACCAATAGCACACACATTCGTGGAGGCTATGTTTCCGAAATTTAATCTTTGGAGTTCATTTGCTTTCAAGCACTAGTTTAAATCTTTACTTTAAAAAAATTACATAAGTACGTATGTAAAAACAAGTGCAAAAATCCCAAGAGTGCAGCCTAGGAAGCCATGGTGGCAGCCAGCCCTCAATGACTCAAGCTCCCACTTGCCAAAGCCTGCCAAGCACACGATTCCAGTTGATGACACGGAAGACACCAACTGCTTTAGGTCGCTTTGTGACTTCAAGAAAACAAAGGTAAACAAACTGTTATCACACGTTCTGATTAGGTTGTGGGGAAGCTAACAGTTCACATCAACCTGTTTTCCTCGGTTATTCACCACAAGTGCAATTCTAGTACAGCTCGATATCAATGCATCTAACACCTTTCCCAGCAAATTACCTTACTCAAATGTTCTCCTTCAGTACACCTTCGTCATGACAACAGAAACCACACTAACAGTTCAGAATAAAGAGCTGCACAATTCACTATCACCCCAAAACATAAACTGTGCTGTTATCTCTATTCCTGGTAGGATATTCTTTAACCCCCACATGCAAATACTATCACTCACCTCTCACCTAACCTTCAGAACGGGAAGGGGAAGACAGAGGGAGCAAATGTTCAAAGTGACATTTGCTAACAACCTCTGAGAATCATCAGATCCCAAAGCTGACAAGAATGCTTTACCCTTGTCATAAGATTCTAGAGGCTAATTGCCAAGGTTATGCTAAAAATCACCACAATGTAAATAACATTCAGAAAATTTACTATTTTCTATCTCATACTTGGCTAAATTCGGCAGACTGATAAATTAATCCTCAGAATAAGCTTAGATCTTTCTTAATGAAAGGCACTACAAAAACTTCCAACTTAGTGTGATGGTACAGCCCCTCAGCCTAACAGTTCAGCATGAGCTATGCCAATGGCTAGATATTTAAAATGAGACAATTGTGATCTTAACTCCAAGGAAAGAAAAATACAAAATTCTGCCTATGAAGCAATGACTTAAAAACCCATACTTGCCTGGTCATTTAAAATGAGAAAAAATATATTAAAGTAATACACACACAGAGAACAGAAGCTAATCCATAGCCAAAGTGACAGAAAAGCCACCAGCGAACCAAGCAGAGAGGAAGAGGCTTGCAGGGCGCACAGCACAGAAGAGCAAGGGAGGCCGGCAAGCGGGGCTCCGGTCACAGAGAGAACATACGTCAGGGAGAGGCTGGTCAGGAAAGAAGCTGAGTCAGGGGCTTTTTTCTTCTACCTTGTACCCAGGAAGTGTTTTGGACAGTACAGAACGTTTGGAACCATCTTTTCTTGGAGTGGCAGCTTTGTCTTTGGGCTTCTGTCGTCCCGGAAGCGAGTCCTCCTGGCCGTCAGGAGGGCTTTCTCCTTCAGATACATTGCCAGAGGAGCTGTCCTGGAGGGCAGAAGGCAAAAACAAAGGTTCCTTGGAGTTAAGATCGACTAGAGGCTGAACTGTGAACAGTACAAGAAAAGGGCAAAAAAACAAGATTAGCGTAGGTCCATTTGCAAGCAGATCATTCTAAGTAGTTGGAAACTTTCCAGTGGAGATTTTTGAGAAGCTAAAATAGTATCTACTGCTTACAATCACAATATAGCTCAAAGTTAATTCCATTTTGTCAGTTACAAGCCTTAATCCATTCCTTGCTTTCTGAGTTACGTCAACAATACAGCTGCACACTGGAGCTAGTGAGGGACCACAAGGGAGTGTGTGCTCAGTGATCACCAAGAACAAAGCTGCACTTCCAGGAGACATGACCAGCGGCCAATAGTCCCAGCATCAGGGATACTGTGACATGTTACACAAAGTTTAAAACCTCAATATCTGACTGCTTAATAACCACACACTTAATTTTAAATTTTTGTTTTGCTTAAATCCAAGCATGCCACTAAAGACAATCACTGGAAGAACCAATGATCTCTTGGTTGTTCTCCTTGTGGCCATATGTCCAGATGCCCAGACATACACAGCTTCCAACCTGCTAACACTGTGAGTGCGTACTTTCTTACATCATCAGATAGTCTCTGTACTGTATTTCTAGCCTGCCAATGTTGTGCAGTCTCATCCACTGTGAACATTAGCAGCTCGACGGCATCTTAGTTTATGCAGCATTAGACACAATTTAGAAGATGCTGGCAACCAGAAAACAAGGTCCTTGCAGAGGCAGCACATTCTCAGGTTTTAAAGCCTGAGCTCTGCCTGCCATTGGGATGGGATCGAGGCTTCTGTTCACCCCGAGTTCATCGATCCCCCACTGCCCTGCAGCTGCATCTGGCTACTCCAAAAACAGGGTCATGAACAAATCACACCGCACAACACATTAGCAAAGCTGAGTTTTTCTCTAAGGGGCCTCAGACTAACGAAGCAACAGAAACACAAGTTACCATGCTCTCCCAACACAAGAACTACATTTTCTCAGTGGCAAGAGATCCAGCTCTGTTTTGTTCCACAGTTTCTGTTCTGGAGTAGCTAGATGAGCAAAGTGTGAACTATTCGGGACCCTCGTTTGTCCAAGCCGCTCACAGGAACGAGGGGCATTTCCAAATGTGAAACACACCCAAGGCCACACACAGCTTGTGTCTATCCACAAACACAAGTGAAACCTTTTTACAAAAACGGGACAATCTAACGTCTCCATAGAGAAATGAGCACAACTTTGGGGGAACACATCCTGATCAAGAAAGCGTGCTCACCGAGGCGCCTTTGCTCTTGCGCTTCTCCTCGCCTTGGCCATCTTCTGCTTCATCCGAGTCACCCTCACTGTCCAGGGCAGGGAGCTCAGGATCCAGGGGGGGCTCATACAAGGCTGTGTTCAATGGCAAATATCGCAGTTCATCCGGGGAGTACCTGAAGGACAGGGAGCTAGTCACTTTTCCTTTATCACTGAATACGAGGGGTTGAATCTACTGGGCTAGGAAGACAGCTTTAGACTACCTCAGGGACTCCACATCATCTCAATAACCATGGCATTTTTTTTTCATTCCATCACCAGGATGGAATAAGCTTAAACATTTCTTTACTAAACTGATGACATCAAACAAGCATTTGATTTCTTATTACCTAAGATAATGCCTCTCCCCTTCACCTTCAATCGATAAATAAAAAATAACAAAACAAGGAAGGTCAGCGGACAGGGGTGAAAAGCCTGGGTCGGCTCAGCTGCTCTCCATGCTGCATTCCTCCATGTGTACAATGAGAACCGAGGCAGAGCAGGCCTCACAGAACATGAGGCTTAAGGAGAGTAACGCGTAGCAACCACAGCACTGTGTTGTATATGACACCATTTAAGAAATAGCTTTCAGTAACACGTTATTTTAAACCAATCTAGAAGCATCACCTTAACAAAACTGATCACCTATTCTGTCTGAAGCTAGACCAGACCCCCCCGCCCACATGCTGCTCTTGCCTTCAGCAAGTGTTCATACAGGAACGGCCTGGGACAGCATGTCCCTCCACAGCCATCACTCAGAAAACAAAGGAGGCAGGACACCAGCACAGGACTCCTGCTCACTTGCCAATCCAAAATTTAAAAATTTTAAATAGAAATTTCTGCCCATGAATTGAATTTGACTTTCAGACAGCAGGGATTCTGTACTCTAGTTTAAATTCTATTCCCCCAAAATTATGTTCTGTCCCTAAGAACACATAGTTCCCAGCTCAGGTGAACACAACATGACCCACCAGCCCTGAGTTTTTAGTACAACGCAGGCTGGAAGCAGGAGGCTGGCAGCCTCTCGGTCACAGGGACAGGCCAGAGCCACCTGCTCCTTTCCCAGTGTCTTCAGCCCGTTTTAGCCCACACATGACCACAGAAGCATCTGTCAGAACACAGGCTCTGAGCTCGTCCACCAGTGGTGACGAGCCCTCACACTGGGAGCAGGGAGGCACCAGGCCCCGGGGGAGCAGACACCACAGCCCAAATCTGTCAACTGTTCCTGATCAGAGAATCAGATGAGATTAACCCGCCACACACCCTGTGCTTAGGGCATGCTTACAGACCTCCGAGCTGTCTGTCGGGAACAAGCACAAGGCTGCCAAACCCATTACCAAAGGCGAGAGCTGATGAATACCTCTTGTAATACTCCTGGAACTGGCCGGGGATGAGAGCCACTGGGTAAGAGCTGACCTTCGTCCGATCAGTGGGTAACACCTTGTACTTTCCCTGAGGTACCTGGATGACCTGTACCAACACAAAGGGGAACAGGGCTCACTCCACACTGGGAATCATGGGATTCCCTTGGGATGGCAACCACCGCCTGCTCTCAACTGCATCAATTCTTCCCCTGTGAAAGAGCTACAAACTGAAGCGAAACAGGGCCATAACCTGAGGAGCCTCGGTGCTGTCTCCACGGGGCCGCTCTGGCCATCCCTCCCTGTAAGCACAATTCCAGCAGTGCAGTCTATCTCACACTCACCACTCAACGCAGCAGGACGTGACCAAGAGCTGAAGGACTACGCACATGCTTTAACACTAAAGAGCAGGCAGGGTGAGCAGCAAACAGCAGCGGGAGGCTACCGACTCCTCACAAACCACAGCTCAAATTGGGACAGGAAAGGACTCAGGCAGTACAAAAAAGCAGTAATAAGCCACAGTACACGCCCGGAAACGACAGTACTTAAATCACCCTACATGTGTCTGTAAGTCAAAATAAGCTCTTCTCTCCTCCATGCGTTCCCGGTTTAAGTTGCTGTTGAACTCGGCTGCCTTCTTGGCAGCTTTCTTGATGTACTCAGGCACTTTGCTGGCTTCGACCTTTTGAGTATTCTGTTGTTGCATTTGCTGAAATAAAAACAGCATCTTTCAAAGTCGTGTATTAAATGTCAGTTGCCCAGACCCAGATAAAAGCAGTGGGTCACCCCACAACTCACAGAATATTCTTTATAATGGTCGGTGATTCGCTGGCGTTCTTTTTCTTGTAGAATCACCGAGTATTCTGCATGTTTGGCTGGATACTCTCTTATCATTAAATCAATCACTTCGTCACTACGCAATGCTGTTAACCCTATGACAGACAAATAAAAAGTAAAGCTCTTAATGATGACGGGACAAAATCACTCTTTAAATCTGTTTCTCTTTCAAACTCATTTAAAAGGTTTTCAAACAGTCAAAGCAAAATATTTTAAAACACCTGAAAATAGGGCCTGGAGCAATAGCTCAATTAGCTAACCCTCCCCTTGCAAAACACTGGGATCCCATCTGGGTACCAGTTCGTGTCCCGCCTGCTCCACTTCTGATCCAACTACCTGCTTAAGGCCTGGGAAAGCATCGGAGGGCAGCCCAAAGCCTTGGGACCCTGCACCTGCATAGCAGACCTGAATGAAGTTCTGGGATCCCAACTTGGGCCTGGACCAAATACGACCACTGTGGCCATTAGCAGTGAACCAGATGGGTGGGCGCTCTGTTCCTCCCTCTGTCACTCTACATCTCAAATACATAAATAAAATCTTGGAAAAAAAGAAAACTACAAGGTTTGCACATAAAATATTTTGATAGCTCCATAAAAATTATTTAAAAATCATATTGCCATGGAATACAGACGTCTATGTTGCTACAGAATATAAAGATTATGAGCTTTGCATTTTAGTAAACAATCTAGAATTTAAGCAGTTCACCGTATTTCCACCACTGATCAATGCTCTGGAGGAAACGCGGCTCTGGTGTCCCCTCACACATGTTCGGCTTGACGAGGTCGCAAGAATCCTCATTACCTAGCGTGCACTGAGTCTCCGTGATGACATTCAACTCCCTCAGGTAGAGCTTCTCCTTGTGAGACAAATCTCGCCTCTCTAAATCTCAAAAAAGCAAAAACAACAACAAAGAACAGAAGAGTGTTATTAACAGTAAAGTGGCAGGCATGATAACACTTATGAAAGCTTACAAACTTTTTCAGAAGTACTTCGTTATGTATTTCAAATAATATTAAAGCGATTACTCAAGCTCTCCATCAACTGAAAAAATAAAACTGGCAACAGAATAATCCAAGCAAGCAAGCATAAACAGCTGTGCAGGGCAGGTCAGCAGAGGCCGCCCTCAGCTCCGGCAGCTGCGCCTTCATCCCAAACTCAAGCGGCAGTACTCAAGAAAGAAATCGCAGCCACGGAGATTTTCTGGTAAAACTCCCCCAGAAAGCCACCTTTCTCACTTTTCAATCAGTTCACAGACGTTAGAACACATTAGTAAGCAGGCAGAGAAGCCAAAGCTCGGGAACTCGAACCAGAGTCACAGAGCTTCTCAGCTGAGTCCGACCCCACCCTTCCCACACGAGGACTGCAGTACCTGGGTACTTGCGCTTAAAGGACGTCACCCCCAGGTATTCACTGACTTGCTCCTGGAGCATGTAATACTCGCCGGCTTCGTCGGGCGGCCACTTGTACTCGATCAGGTTTTCTGCTGGATAGTAACTGAAGCTGGTGCAAAGCATACCTTATGTCAGCAAACTTTAGCTACTTCTACCCTGGAGGTTATTTTGAAAATTCTTCGCCTGTTATGACTTCGCACGAATATCAAAGATTGCACAACAGGTAACAGAGAAGCAAGCACCTGATGTTTCAAAGCCCAAAGCCTTCCACACGGTGAAAGGGGCCCACGAGGCCTGGGCGGCCCTCCACTGCATCATGGGCCCATGGGCACTAGGACAGCAGTGCCAAATGTTTGTGCGAAATGTTAATTAAATTTAAGAAATTTATCACGAATTTTGAAAATCATGCAGTTTTTGTGGTTTTTTTGTTTGTTTTTTGCTATATTTTTAAAAAATATCTGATTTGAAAGGCAGAGCTCCAGAGAGAAGTGAGAGAGAGAGGGTCCACCTGTCGGTTTACTCTCCAAAGAATGCCAACAGCTGGGCCGGGACAGGCTGAAACCAGAAGCCTGGAGGGCCATCCAGGTAGGCCCGGGCCCCCAGTGGCAAGGATCCACACACCTGGGGGGCCATCCTCCACTGCTCTCCCAGGCACATTAGCAGGGAGCTGGACCAGGAGAGCAGCCAGGACTCAAACCAGAGTACCAAACAAAAGAGCTTTTCCATACACATTCTAATAGTCCTGCTTTGCTATCCTCCAAAGTGTGACCAGCTTCTGTCTCATTCTCAACAAGTTTTGAGCAGCTGGCCGGGCAGAGCTCAGCAGGGAAACGAGCCAGGATGACCTGTCCTCCAGGGCACAGTCCATCTGCACTGAGGACAGGCCTCAGGAGCTGTGGTCGGCCAACTTCTATGGGACAGGCAGAAACGTGACGCTATTTCTGCAACTATTCATTTAGCAAGAAATGGACAAGGTCAGTGTTCCCAATGTTTGTGTTAGAAAACGGGAAAGCCACATGCAAAAATATAAAAGGTGATCCCTGGCCTTAAATCACAAACAAAAATGACTTCAAGGAATCAACAACCCAAATAGGAGCTAATTAGAAAACTCTTAGATAAAAACACAGTAAATCTTCATGATTTAGGATTTGGCAGCATATTATGAGACAAAATACCAAAACCTCAAGCAACAAAAGAAAAAATAATCTGGATTTTATCAAATTTTAAAAACTGCACCAAAAGACACTATCACTAAAGTATGTAAGAAAAACCATTTTTCAAATTATATATCTGAAAAGGGAATACTGTCCAGAATATATAAAGAACTGCTAAAATACATATATGTATATATACAAAACCCATATGAAAAATGGACCAAGGATTTGTTGAAGCGTTTTTCCAAGCATAAACAGCTGGTGAGCACAAGACACTCAACATCACCAGTCATCATGGAAATGCAACACCTCACACCTCGCAGGACAACACGACCAAAACAAAACAGGAAGTCACCAACTACATGGATGTTGAGCTGATGATGGGCAGGCTGACTCAACCAGTGCATAGCCAGGCGTAGACGCAACCCCAGCATCCCTCGAGACAGGGATGAACAAAGCACGGAACATTGCAGGGGAAAGGACTCGGCCTGGAGAGGCAGCTCTGACGGGACACAGGCTGGCACATCAGGAGCTGTGACGACATTACACCAAATGCACAGCTGCTGAGAGCTCGGCTTCCTGGGTGCCAGGCTACAGGGGCAGGAAGACACCAAGTGCAGTTTCCGCTGAATGTCTGCGGGCCTATGTGGGACAACAGGAGCTTAGCAAACACTTGGTAAGTGCGATTCATTAACGCCACTGGATTTTAGACCTAAAAACCATTAATTTGGCGAATTTTACTAGGATATATTTTATTCCCTCGCTCCCAGTGGCAATATCAACTTTACCATCACATTATGAACAGGAGGAAAACATAAGCGCTCCTAGCCCTGGCCACAGCTGCGCAGCTGGAGCAGCAAGCAAGAAAGGAAGTACCTGAGATCTTGACTGGAAGTCTCACAACTTCTGGAGCTGTCTCCTGAGCCCATCCGCCTCCTCTTGGATGGCTGCGTGCCGTCATTTGAATTATCTTCAGTGTCATCCTGTATATTTGAAAAAGCCAGTAACAGTCATCACTAGAGAATAAACAACAAGAACAAAGTCTCAATAATGCAAATATTAACTTCCTGTTAAGAAGCTAATCATCTAGACTGAGCACAAACTGAAACAAAACTACGAACAAAACAAGAAAACTCCCAAATAAACCATCAATCTGATCTTACTTTTGCTTTCTCAACAAATGTCTTGTGCTTCTAGACAGAAAACTATGGCATGACCCCACCTAAGCTGGGGGGAGCGGCACACAGGAGTATTTCAGTCACTGAACTGACTTAGAGGAGGTCTAACTAAGGCCAGAGTGCCTTCAGTCACAGCCCTGTAAGAAAGGGGAGCGAAGGGGACCTGGAGTACAAGGACTGAACCCAGACAGCTATTTCTGGCAAAAATATCACATAGTAAGAGCCATCAACCTGCAATGGTCATACACACAGGAGAGGCATCCCTGCAGTTACCAAAAGCACCGACCATCCAGGCTGCGGCAACCAGTCCTTCCACCAAAGCACGTGGTGAGGCGCCATCCTCCGGAAACCGATTTAACTGCATACTAGTCCAAATTTAAGGTAACAACAGATCATTTTTCTCTTGTTAAGTCAAGCCAACGTAGCTTGACGCTCACACAATTCTTTTAAAAACACAGTCCTGACCAAATAAAGACCAGCACTCCACGTGGCCAGCTTGCCGGGACTGCCTGCTGGGCCGCACTTGGGAGCCCACTGGCGTGTGGTGCTCACTCTCCTGGGAATTTCTGGAAAACCGAGGTGACTACCAGTGGTTTACACACAGAAAGCGGCACTTGGGCCAAGGACTAGCAAAACACCTGTCCACTAAAGATCAAACTAGGATCGTGTCCCCTCCCCCAGCATTTGTGCCAACTGGGAAGCCCACATCCCTTCCCTCTCAGTCATCACAGGTCAGCATCCCACTCAAGGCTCCACACCCTCCAAGGGCAGCACCCAGGCTGGCAGAACAAGCTTCCCAACCAACAGTGATAACGCACTCGCATTTCACACAGTTCATACTACCTTTTTCAGCTTTTCTTTCTTGCCTGTGAGCACTTTAAGAAATTCCATATCAATTTGTTTTAAAAACCACCTCTGGATGAGTATCTGAAAACAGACTAAACTTTCAAGGCAAAGTATGAAAAAATGCCCAGGCCATAATCAATGGCTAGGCTCTCCACACAGGAACAAAAAAGGCGGTCCCTGGGAAGCTGCCCCTTTCTGGAGTGTCAAGTCGCAGCAGCACCCCAACCCGGGGTTTAGGTGGAGGCCACCAAGCTCCCAAGCGCACTGAAGCCTGCATACCTGTTCCTGAGTTACAGGCAGTTCTCCCAGCTGCTGCACACCCGCGCCCGGGGAGCAGGGTGTGTGGATCTGGGGCCCCAGGGGGTGTGGGGGGAGCAGGGGGCGTGGGGGATTCAGGAGGGGTGTGGGGGGATCCAGAGTGTGTGGGGGGAATCTGGGAATAGGGGGTATGCGGGGGAACTGGGCTCACGGGGTGTTGGGGGGAACCCGGGGCGACCCCGGGAGCTGGGCCGCGCGGGACAGCGGAGGCCCACGGCAATGACCTCCAGGGCCGGGTGTATGGGGTCAGCTGGGGACACGGTGCCTGCAGCCCCAGGAGGCGACCGCGTGGACAGCCCGGGCAGGCCGGCCTCAGCTCGGGGGTCACACCCGTCCCCCCGCCCCACAAGCCACGCCAACTTGAGAAGCGCCGCGCGGGACGCGTCCCACCCCACGCGGGGTCCACCTCCGAGGCACTCTCCGCCCCGAGCCTCCGGCTGGCGGGGAGGGCGCCCGACGCGGGCTCCTGCGGCGACGGGCACGGCGGGGGGCCGCCCGAAGGGCACCGCGCTCCGGGCCCGCGGAACTTTCTCCGCCGTCCCGAGGGGCACCGCCGGGGCCAGCGGCCCGCTCCGCCCCCGCCCCTCCCGGGGAAGCCAGCGGCCGGCCCCGGGCCTCACCTTCGCGGACTGCGCTCCGGGGCTGGCCGGGTCGCTGTCGCACGGCCGCGGGGACAGCGCCGCCCCGGGCCCGGCCGCCGCCGCCATGAGCCCGAGCGCCCCGCGCCGTCGCCGCCGCCGCCGCCGCCGCCTCGTCCCGGCCGCCGCCGCCGCCGCCGCCGCCGCCGCCGCCGCGCGGGCCGCCCGCCGCCCCGGCCCCGCCCCCTCCGCCCGCCCGCCCGGGGGCCGGCCCCTGCCGCCGCGCGCCCCGCGGCCCGCCAGCGCCGCCGCCATGGCCGCCGCCAGCGCGCCCGCCCGCCCGCCGCGGGCCTGAGGAGCGCGGCCCGGATGCAGGAGGCGCGGCGGCGGCGGCGGCGGGCGCGCTCCTCACGTCAGCCCCGGCGGCCCGCCGCGCTCGGCCCGCGGCTCGGCTCGGCCCCAGGCGCCCTCAGCCCGCCGCCGCGCTCGGCCCGGCGTCCTCCTCAGCCCCGGCCCGGCGCGCCCCGCCTCGGCCCGCCGCCGCCTCGGCCCCCGCCCCGCCCCGGCTCGCCGCCGCCCCCTCCCCGGCCCCCGGCCCGGCCCCTCCACACGTCAGCCCTCTCCTCCCACCGCGCCGCCCGCGCCGCGTCCCCGCTCGGGGGTCCCCGCGCCGCCCCTTCCTCCCCGGCTCCGGGGGCGGCGGCCCGCCCTCCCCGACGGGGGCCCGCCCAGCCCCGCACCCCGCCCGGTGCCCGCCGCACGCCTCCCGGTGGAGCCCCCTCCTCTCCCAAGCCGGGGTCCCTGCCGGGGTCCCTGCTCGCTCCGCCCTGCCGGCTGCCCGCCCCTCGCTGCAGGGCTGCGCCCCGCTCCGAGCGCGCTCGCTTCGCGCCTGCCTGGGCGCCCCGAGCTCGGTCCCGGCCGCGGCCTTGGCCGCTCCCTGGCTCGCCCGGCGCCCTGGGCCGCCGCCCTCGGCAGCCTTTGTTCTCCGGGCTGCCGTGCGGCCCGGGCCCGCAGGGCCTCCAGGACGGGCCGTTTCCCTCCGGGGACGCCCTGGCCTAGCACGTGCAGGTGCAGCGCCCCGGGAGGCCCCCCGCGCGGGCCCCCGGACTCCCGCCGCCGCTCTACCTGCTCTACCTGCGTCTGCCGGCGTGTGAGCTGTGAAGACACCCGGGCCTCAGGGTGATGGTGCGGCGGTGGCTGGGGGAATTTGCCAGCCCACTTCACCAAAAACACGGAGAACCTCAGGGGACCTGCAGGCAGCTGAGTGAAGGTGAGGCCCAGCTGCTCGGCTTCCCTGCCACCCAGATCTGCACATGGAAGGGCAGTGTGTCCATCACGTGCCCCCAGAGCTGCCACTGCCTGCTCTTCGCAGTCCCAGGGGCCACCTGCTTGCTTTGTCCTCCCAGCCTCTCCTGGGAGAGAACCCGCAGGAAATGCCGGGGACATCCTGTCCCCAACATGCTTCTGACCCTGCCAAGAAGAGAGTATGATTGGGAACCCAGATTTTCTGGATAGTGTTTAAATCAAAGGGGAGGGGGGCTGGAATTTGTTCCTTTATTTGGTTCTGATTTTCTCTTTTGGGTCGAATACAAAATCAGAACGTTTCCTTCCAGAGCAGCCAGCACTGAGGCTGCCTTCTGGTGTTCAGGATGGAGGCCTGGCTTAGAAAAGACCCCACAAACACCCTCCCTCAGGAGGGCACCTCTGACATGAGGTAGCAGGCTGAGCTGCAGGGCACACGCTTCAGGCCCTGCCCCATGTGCAAGCATGTGGAATGCTATGGACATGTCATAAATCCCTCAGCACACTATCTCAGAAAAGGGGTGCTCGCTTCCTTCCCTTGGAGACATGGACTAGGTAAGGAGCTGAGGTGCCCTTCCTGCAGTTGGTCGGAGGCATTGTTGTAGAACCCCCAGACTGGGTCTGCTCACCCACTGCACAGGAAGCAAAGCACAGAGCAAGGAGCTGGCTATTGTTAATTCCCAGGCTCCCTGAGGAGTGAGGGGTAAAGATGCTAACAGATTGAAAATGGGGGCTGAGAACTGCTGAGGGCAACAGACAGGCCACCTAGAGCTAGGAGAGAGGACCAGGGTCTGGCCATGCTTTTGCATTATAGGGGTTCAACTCGACTACTTCCCTCCACCCCACCCCTTCTATCTCTCGCTCACTCTATACCCACGTGTGTGAGTGTTTTTCTTCGCTTTTTCTAAATTATATATATGTTTTATTAATCACATTGCATTATGTGACACAGTCTCACAGGCTCTGGGAGCCCCCCACCCCCAACCCTCCCCCCATGGTGCATTCCTTCACCTTGCTGCTGTGTTTTCTTCGCTTTTAATAAGCTTTATCACTGCTTATGTGCCTGTTGCTTAACGTGCTTTTTAAGTAATAAACAAGGACCAGGATTCGTTTTTTATAAAATTTATTCTTACTTGGAAGGCAGATTTTACATTCAGAAGGAGAGAAAGAGGTCTTCCATGCACTGTTCACTCCCCAAATGGTCGCAACGGGCAGAGCTGAGCTAATCCGAAGCCAGGAGCCAAGAACTTCTTCCATGTCAGCCACATGGATGCAGAGTTCCAAGGACTTGGATTACCGCCACTGCTTTCCCAGGCCAAACAGCCTAGCCAATCCCCTGCTCTCCTTTCCAGCTTCCTAGCCCCCAAAGAGGAAGCCCACCCACGCCCCGAAAAGTCGTTTGCACAGCCCAGGGGAAGCCAGCTCAGCTCCAGCCCACTCATGACCTTCCTCGGGCCTCCCAGTTGGGTGTGGGCAATAGCATTTGTTCCTCGCTGGAGAGAGATCTGGGTGTGTACTGTCACTTTTGAATACATGCTGCTTTTCTACACCATTGTTGCCCCACGTGTTGGGGGAAGAACATGGGAAAACCAGCTGTAATCCCACCCCTCACAAGCAGTCCTGGGCTGGTGAGGTCTACAGAGAGAAGTAAGGAGTCAGAGGTGTGAAGGGAGTGTACAAAGTTCTGTGTGCAGTAGCACAGGACCCAATGACCATGGAGACATTGTACAGAGACATCAACCCGAGAGAGAACTGCCACAATTGTTGTGAACTTTTACTAAAACACTAGAGCTCTCTTGCTGCTAACTGTAACTGTGTGGCATTTTTTTTAAAAACTATTTATTTATTTTTAAAATGTAATTTTTTTAATATTTATTTTTATTGCAAAGTCAGGTATACAGAAAGGAGGAGAGACAGGGAGGAAGATCTGGGCAGCGATTCACTCCCCAAGTGAGTGCAACAGCTGGAGCTGAGCTCGATTCAAAGCCAGGAGCCAGGAGCTTCTTCCACATCTCCCACACAAGCACAGGGACCCAAGGCTTTGGGCCATCCTCCACTGCTTTTCCAGGCCAGAAGCAGGGAGCTGGATGGGAAGTGGGGCTGCCAGAATATGAACCTGTGCCCACATGGTATCCTGGCACGTTCAAGACAAGGACTTTAGCCACTTGGCCACCGCACCCGGCCCTGTGCGGGGTTTTTAAGATACATATCTGGGGCATTGCCATTTACTACATGGGAAACATGCAGCATTAAGGCTTGCTCTTTTTTGAAGGTTTATTTTTATTGGAAAGTCAATTTACAAAAAAGGAGAAGCAGAAAGCATGCTCTACCATCTGCTGATTTACTCCCTAAGGGGCCGCAACAGCTGGAGCTGAGCTGATCCAAAGCCAGGATCAGGAGCGTATTCCAGGTCTCCCATGAGAGTGCAGGGTCCCTAGGCTTTGGGCCATCCTGTACTGATTTCGCAGGCCACCAGCTAGGGAGCTAGCTGGGAAGAGGGGCCTCCAGGACATGAACTGGCACCCATGTGGGATCCTGGCATATGCAAGACGAGGACTTTAGCCTCTAGGTTATCACATTGGGTGCTAGGACTTTCTTCGTACTGACAGTGGCCTGATGGCTTTCTGCTGTCTGAGACTTAGCTCTTGTGTATTGAAAAGCAAATACACTCTGCTGAGCTTGCACTGTCTTTGCGTCTTCAGCATTGTGAAACACCTCCAGCCAGTAACCTGCCCTGTTCCATCTCAGTGGTTCTGCCACACCCACCCTAGTGACCTCTGAGGCCACTGTGCAGATTTCATGCCAGCACTCTGAGCTAGACAGCATCTCCACTGGGTTGCTTCGCACTTTGTTCATGCCAGCTGCTAAACTGATGAGAGCAGACTTCACTGGGGAAAAAAGAGATTCTTTTTCAATGTCTTTGCAGTTATCGTCTTTAAACATGGCAACTGACTTGAACATGTTGGCCCGAATTCTAATCAAACTATTTGGGACTTTTTGTTCTTCAATGCAAAGTGGGAGAAAAGTCCCTCTCCAGTCCCAACTACCACATCACCACTCTTCTGTTTCCAGGACAACTGAAACAAGCACACCTGTGGTTTCTGCGAGCCTGGTCTTTCTCCACATCCCTCACAGTGACTTTTGTGTACGCCTCCTTATCTGCACTTGGCTTTGCCATTGTCATGTTCAAGTAATCACATAGTTAGGCTTCCAGCACTGATACTTTGTATTTACATGCTGTACTTTGCTTTTTGTTAACCAGCTCCCTCCTTTGGAGATACCTTTTTAGAAAGCACCACATGGGTTTGTCATTGATAACAAGAAGGCAGCACAACTACCTGTGACTGTGCAGAAAGGGAAGAACCGGCTGGATATGTGCAACAAGCCAAGTCCGGGGGGTTTTGGAGAAAGGATGTGAGACCACTGTGGGCAGAATGTGGGTGTCCCCTGCGGCTGATATGGGGAAGTTGCAAATCCCCAGGGTGATGGTGCTCGAAGTGAGGCCTTCAGGAGGCGGCTGAATCCAGACAAACTCACGAGGGCTCCAGGTCGGAAAGCAGGGAGACACACAGGATCCTCTTTCAGCAAGGAAAGGCCTGGGAGGTATCGCCAGCAGGAGTCCCTCTCCCAGGACACCAGCATCTTAGGAAATGCTTATGGTTGAGCCCACCCTGTCCAAGATGCTCCATGTGGCAGCCTAAGAAGATACAGACAGGGCCCATCCGTCACATACATAGTGATCTGTGAACCCTGTAGTTGGAGGACAGTGCTGTCTCCCTAAAGCATAGCTGAGATGTGCATATGCCAGAACCAAGGAGAGTGAGAGGATCCCTTGTTCAAAGGCCCTTCCATGGGCGTGGCAGGAGTGGAAAAGAGAGGAAGATGCTGGCCCAGTGGGTCCAGTTCTTGAGCGAAGGCAGGAGTAAGCCAAATTACAGGCAGCAGCAACAGAGCTACAGGACTGTTCCAGCAGCCTTTAAAAGGTTTGCAGAGGGCCCGGCGCGGTGGCGCAGTGGTTAAGGTCCTTGCCTTGCACGCCCGGGATCCCATATGGGCACCGGTTCTATCCCGGCAGCCCCGCTTCCCTTCCAGCTCCCTGCCTGTGGCCCGGGAAAGCAGTCGAGGACAGCCCAAGGCTTTGGGACCCTGCACCCGCGTGGGAGACCTGGAAGAGGCTCCTGGCTTTGGATCGGCATAGCATCAGCCGTTGCGCTCACTTGGGGAGTGAATCATCGGACGGAAGATCTTCCTCTCTGTCTCTCCTCTCTGTATATCCACCTTTCCAATGAAAAAAATAATAAAAATAAATCTTAAAAAAAAAAAAAAGGTTTGCAGAGAAAGGAAGAATTTTCGAACGAACGCATAACTTTTTTTCAAAATACAATGGGGGTCTTCCTGAGGGAACAGCCAGGATCCCGCACTCCAGTGATCCTGTGGCTGTGGTGTACATTTCCCTGACAGCTCCTCAAGGAGGGGTCCTTGCCTGGGCAGTTCGGTCTGCAGGGTCAGCGTGATGGCTCAGTGGCTCATGGCAACATGCTGCCTAGGAGGGGTGGGTGAAGGAGAGCACGGCAGAGGTTGGCTGCTGCAAGCCTGAGTATAGCTTAGGGGAAGAGGCTTGGGAGGGCATGGGGCCAGGAAAGGCTAGTATTGGAGGGCACAAAGGAAGTCACTCAGCCCCAGGCGGCACCGTGAGAAGTGTTGTTTGTGACGGCATCCCAAACCTCAGACACGGACAATCACGGAGTATGTGTTCACTGGGAAGGCCACTGAGCCAGACAGAGTTCTGTTCTACAGCTTGGGCCTGAGTCAGACCTGGCTGCTACAGGCTTCAGTGCCTGAACATCTCTCTCTTGGCTGTCTCTTTGTCTTACTAATTGGCAAATAAAATGAAAATAAATAAATAACACATTTAGAAAGGAGCCCAACTAACAAACAGAAACTATACTTTTTGATTAGCGATGGAAGTAGCAAATATGGTAGTGTCTTTCTTTCAAACTTGTCAACTATTTTCAAAAGAATAAGTAAAAACTATTAAATCCATATAAAATGAAGCTGCCTTTAGAAGTTTTCCAAAATTAATCTTAAAATATGTTTAATTTAATATTTCACAAGGTTGCATCTAAATTTCTTGCAACAAATTCTAATTTTCATAAACCTGAAAATTTTTCCTGTACTATTATTCACAATAAAATTCATAAATATAGACATGGGTACAGATACACACTTTCTATACTACTTTTTTGGGACAGAATATTAATAAATATAATTGGTTAATTTAAATGTAAAAACCCAGCGTTTGCTTGTCTGTTAAAGGAATTTCATTAAAAGCCCCCAACTGTAGACGACAAGACAGCTAACCCAAACCACCACAAGGGCCACAATCTTTCCGTCTCATTTATTTTTAAACAGTTACAGGTCAGAAGCTATTCACAATAAAGAGCAAATACCAAAGCCAGTGCCACGTACGATTCAGTTTCATGTTTAGCTTCAACCCAGCTGTCCCATGCAACATCCCAGATCCATCTGCTGGCAATCTGTGAGGAAAGTTTTTAAAAGACCAGCTTTAGACTGAACACGCTAAAAAGTGATTTTCAAATCTCTGTTAAATAGTTTGAGTTTCCAAAGCAGGTGTCTTGGTACCATCTGTCAGTTTTTTCTTCCATGCTGCTGGGCCCACCCTCCTTCTGGAAGAGGGTAGGATCTATCTGACAGGGCAGTGCCACCTCAGCAGGGTGTGAACAACTGCAGAGTGGCCTGCACTCCACGTTACAGTCTGCACAAAGTTCTCCCACCCTTCAAGTACTTTGAACCGAAGGACCTCAGCCTGAAATGAGAAATGGTGCTCATTATCCAGGAAGGCTGCTACAGAAAATCCTGACTCATTTGTCCCATTTACAATGGCACCCACACTTCAGCCTAAGGGGCCATCCACTCCGTAGCGCTTTCCCTACCAGAAGGTTGGCCCTGGTGCACGCTCTCTGAATGGAGTTGCCTTTATCTGTTGGCCAACAGAAAGTGACCCTAGGCAACTTATGACCTAATCCTTTCAAGGTCTTGCAGCGCCTGCCCTCACAGACTGCTGTGCGTAGACGCCCACTCTGCAACGGAGGCACATTGCTCACGGTAGGAGAGCCCTGGCATCCCTCCGAGCAGCAGCAACAGCTCTCAGATGTTGAAGAGAGTACTGTGGAGCTACAGGCTCAGCTGACCGAACAGTGGCTCCGGAGAGAGCTGGCCCAAGGATGGCTGTGGTTCCAAGCTGGCAGGCTCTTCAGTGGTTAGATATGACGTCATACTGGCTAACCATTGCCCCATTCCTGTCTCCTTTAGCTACAGGCAGACAGAAACCCTGGTTATTAATTAAGCACACCAAGTCTACTCTCCAGACTTTCCCACTGGAACCTCAGAGGGTCTTCCCCTCTCCAGATGACCCCAGGTCACCATTTGCCTCATACCTGCCTATTGCCCTCCTCAGTTTCCTTTCTGGAGCACCAGTGCTATCCAGAACGTCCCTGTTGGGTCAGTCTTGCTGAATTACATTTTGCCTGCCCCACACACAATCTCCCTCCCCATGCTGCAGTATGCAGGTCCCCCTCCAGGAAGCCTACAGATTGTTCCCAACATGCACTGTCACTCCCTAAGATATCTACACAGCCACGTGGGCTAATGGCAGTAACCAACTGCTTCCTGCGGGGCCTGTGCTGGGGACTATGCAGAGGAGTGCAATACGGGTCATTTCATCATCCCTCACAGCAGCTCTGGCGAGCAGCTATTACAGCACCATCTGTAGATAAAGCCAACATCCCAAGGCCATGGCCATGTGGGCTGCTGCTTCAACTTCGTGGACAGCCTCACCCAGAGACTGAGGCTGTCTCCACAATCCCCAAAGTTGGCTGCGGTGGGCACACCTCAAGAGTTACAGTCACATTCAAGGTATTTTCTACACCATCTATCATCCAGACACAAGCTTACGGCCTTTTTCCTCTTCAAAACTTACTTGTTAATTAACATTAAATCATCCAAGCTGGTATGATCAAAGCATGTGGTAGCTGTGCAGATTAATAAACTATCAACAACACACCACAGCTTCCAGCTCAATGCTTCTCAAATCATTTGCAGTGAAACAAAATGTATTTACAAAAGCATCCTCCCATCCAGGGCACCCTCAGAGCAGTGCTGTGCCCTGGAGCCAACCGCAGAACCCTTAAATCGCCAGCATTCTACTGCTGGAGACAGCAATGGCTACTTACATTTATTGCTTGACCAGTTTTCTGAATAAACAATACTTTTATAATGAACTTGTAACGATGGAACCCGAATTCTTTGACTGCTGACAATATGCGGTCTGCCAATTCAAGGGACAAATGAGAGAAGACTTTATCATCGTATTTGACATCTTTAAGACTTTCCTTTGAAAACATTTTGAAGAAAACAGTTTAGTTTTCCATTTAAATACTTTCAATGTAAAAATACAAGTAGAAACATACCCAAGTTATACACTATTTAAAACAATTAAACATATACACATTACTAACAAATAACAGTAAATAAATTTTGTACTTCCTACATTAGTTCAATGATGTTTTAAAAGAATCACTCTGTTTTATTGGTACCATGGCAAAGTGGCTTAAACTGCTTCTTGCAATACCAGCATTTCTTGTTGAAGTATTTATTCAAATCCTGGCCACTGTCCTTTCAGTTTTCTGCAGCTATGCCCCGGGAAGCAGGCCTAGCTATCTAGGTGGGGTATCAGGATGCAGCTCCAGCCTGCACATACCCAGCTCCAACGATTGCAGCCATTTGGGGAGAACCAGCAGGTGGAAGCCTGCTCTGGCTCCACCTCTCTAATGATCTGCTTTTCAAGTAAGCAAACAAACAGGTCTTTAAATGATGTGTTTTGCTTTTTCTAATGCTTTATTGCTTGCCCTACACTAACGATATAATTCTATTTGGCCAGACTACTCTGCTAACCTATTATTAGGGAGACGCAGGGGAATTTTCAAAGGAGGTTTCTGGAAATTCTTGGGCAGGGACACCTTTTTTTTTTTTAACATTTTATTATTATTATTATTATAATTTTATGATATAGTTCCATAGGCTCCTGGCATTTCCCTTATCCCCTCCCCAAAACCTCCCCCCACCTAGTTCCTCTATATCATTACCAAAATATAGTTCTCCATACACAGTCATATGTCCATCATTGCAGGCATGGACAATGACAGAGAGTCCAGCATCCTATTGTCAAGATATAGTAAACAGTTTCATTGTAAGTCCATCTTTGTCTGGAAGTAGAAATTAATACTATATTGTATCCTCACATCTGGATGTTAGTCTCCATTTTACAGCTACTGTACATCCCCTTAAATGAAAAGCCACAGTACAAAATCATCAACAGAAAGAAAAATAGAGATTTACAATGCCATGAAGTTACTAGATATGACAGTCTCCATTACACAGTTACTATACCTCCCCTTCACTGAAAAACCACAAAACAAAATCAGTATCAGGGAGAAAAAAGAAATTAACAACACCATGAAGTTAAATAACATGCTACAAAATGCCTAACGTGTAGCTAGAGATGAAAATCAAGAACCTTCTTGAAGAAAATGATGCTACTGTAGGATCTGTGAGTCATTGAATGATTTAATCAGAAGAAAAGTGTTTTAAAGAGATGAAACTAACAGAAAACATTAAAATCCATGCGATATAGTTTCCGCTGATTTTTGTTGGTGAAGTATGTCTCTTCTAGACAATAAATATATGTTGTTTTGTTTTTTCTAATCCAGTCTATTAATCTATGACATTTGATTGAGCTTAAGCCATTTACATTCAGAGTTTAACATGTATGGATGGTACTTTGGTCCTGTAATTTTAGGAATGGGTTGTTCATTGGTTTAGTCTTCTGTTGTCATTTTAGTGGGAGGTTCTTCCCATTTGCCTTTGTTTTTGGTAGGTGCTATTCCTCTTCTCTGACAAAAGAACATTTTTTTTAAGATTTATTTCTTTTTATTACAAAGTCAGATATACAGAGGAGAGAGAGAGGGGAAGATCTTCCATCCGATGACTCACTCCCCAGGTGAGCACAACGGCCGGCCAGTGCTGCCGATCCAAAGCCGGGAAACAGGAACCTCTTCCAGGTCTCCCACACAGATTCAGGGTCCCAAGGCTTTGGGCCGTCCTCGACTGCTTTCCAGGTCACAAGCAGGGAGCTAGACGGGAAGTAGAGCTGCTGGGATTAGAACCGGCGCCCATATGGGACCCCGGCACGTTCAAGGCGAGGACTTTAGCTGCCAGGCCACGCCACTGAGCCCAAAAGAACATCTTGAAGTATCATTTGTAGAGCAGGTTTGGAAGAGGCAAATTCTTTTAACTTTTCTTGACTGTGGAAGAATTTTATTTCATTTTCAAAGATGAAAGAAAGCTTTGCAGGGTATGTTATCCTAGGCCGACAATTTTTTTCTTTTAGAATCTGGAATATGTCACTCCATTCTCTTCTTTCCTGTAGAGTTTCCTGTGAGAGATCTCCTGTGAGCTTAACTGGCCTTCCTTTATATGTCAATTGATTTTTTTAAAGTGCACATTTAAGGATCTTTTCCTTATGTTCAACTGAAGAGAGCTTGATAATCATATGTCTTGGTGAAGATCGCTTTTGATCAAGCCTGTTGGGAGTTCTGTGTCCCTCCTGGATCTTGTTTCCCAATTCTTTCTCCAGATTAGGGAAATTTTCCTTGATTATTTCATTAAATACATTTGCAAACTCAACTCTTTCTGCACCTTCTAGGACTCCCATAACTCTTATATTTGGCCTTTTAATAGTGTCTTTCAATTCTTGAATACTTTTTTTTTTTTGGCCTGACCCAGCTCTGCTTCCAGCTTTTTATTTGCTTCCCCCTGGTGACAGGAAATATCTTCCAATTCTGAGATTCTTTCTTCTGCTTGCTTCATTCTATTTTGGAGACTCTCCATTGTACTTTTAATTTGCTCTACTGTGTTCTTAATTTCTGATATATCAGCCTTGATTGCTTTATTGCTTCCTTAAGTTCTTTGAACTCTTGTATGTGTTTCTCATTTTTTATCAGAAGCTTTAAAATGAGTTTTATGAATTCTGTATGCCCCATTTTCTTGATGTCTTTCTCAGTTAACTCTGAGGTTGGCATAGGGTTTTGCTCCTTTGCAGGGGAGTTTTCAGTAATATGCATTGTACCTTTGTCTCTTCTTTTGCTCTTGGTCATTGTATTTCTGGTTAGCAGAGTCTTCTCCTTGGGGCAGGTTTCTAAGCTCTGTCATCCACAGGTCTACAATGCGATTTTACTTATTGCAGTTGGTACACAACTTTTTGCTGGCAGCCGCTTGTGCCACAACCTCCAGTGATTTCCAGGTTTGAGTTCTTATGTTAGATTTCCACTGTGGTCTCCACAGCCCCAGCTCCTGGCTCACCACTCTCCTCCTCCTGTGATACTGTACTGAGGCTGCACTGTTATCTCTGCAGCCTTTCTCCCTCTTCCGGTTGGAGCAGGTCCCAGGATTAGGGAGACACCAGGTGTCCTATATAGTTAGGTTGTTGGTGGCATTGAACTTGTCAGAACCTGTTGGACGCTAGGTCTGAGTGCCACACGGACCTATTTTAACTGGTACAATGCCACAATTGGTATTATTTTCCTGTGGGACCAGTGCAATTCGCTGAACTCAGCAAGTTCTCGCGAGCTCAGCACATGCTCAGTTCACTATTATCCCTGCAGTCCTAAAGCTATTGCCACAGTGTACAAAATGGCACCTCATGTACCACCACTACAGTTCTTGATCTGCTGGCCATCAGATCTGAGGGCTACCCAGACCGGGCAGTGACAACATTTAAAAATATGCATCAATGTTGAAATCCAGTCCTGCACTGGGTCCTTGCTATCTTCATCGGCCTCCTCATTCTTCATGTATTCCTAACTACAACCCCTTATTCTGCCACACTTTCTCTTTGGCCTCCAGGGAAATGCAAAGAAGCTAATGGTAACTAGTGTTTAGTGAGAAATCAGTGTGCAGCCTGGAGGAAATGAAGCCTTCCCACAGACCAAGGGTAAAGCCGCCCATGGATGAGCATACCACGATGCCTTTGATGGACCGGCTCAGGCAGGCACTAGCAGTTCCCACTGCTTGGCCCTACTCACAGGCAAGCCAACCCCAACAGCTTGTTCCTGGGCTGAACAGCCAGAGAGACCAAACCTGTCCTTCCCACTGCTCATCCTTTGATTTAGTTCTGGTGACTGATAGAGACTCATGCAGCTGAAGTGCAGTTTGCACCAGGGCCGCAGGCAGTGGCTATCTCCCATTGCTTCCCAGTGCTCTTTGCTGCTCCGAAGCTGGCCACAGCTCACGGTCCCTCTTGACTCTTGACTGTCTGTCTAGAAACCTTCCCAGCCATGTACTGACCATCACACTGACCACCTTCTGAGCCCTGGGATGTGGCCACTGGGTCAGAGTCCTCTACAACCTGCCCAGGTTATAATTTGGCAACTTTGTTTCTGTAGCCATTTAAAAAGAGCAAAACGGGGCTTTGCTTTTGTCTTTGTTGGCTAATACCACATACACTTGTTTAATTGTTTAAGAGTTTAAAAGCACAAGAGGCAAGATGGCAGCATAGGGTACCGACATGTTTTATGTGACGGAAAATCTTTATAGAAGGTAAAGTACAAGATGCAGTGGTCTCTGCACTGCTCTTGTGACCGCCAGGTGGGAGTCTGGGTCCGCGTGGGGAGATTGGGAGATGAGTGTGATCTGGGACCTGGCAGTAGTGCTGGGTGACTTGGACCAGCAACAAGTGAAGAAAGAGTAGGAGACTCAGGGTGCCATCTTGTGTGGAGAGGCTGAGCATAGAGTTGATGGAGCAGCCCAGAGGAGGCTCATTTCTGGCTAATCACATGGAACTGATCCAGTGGGGAGGGCAGCACCAGTTTTGCTCTCTGCAGGGTCTGTGTGGTCCCTGGAGCTGAAAGCCAGCAGCCCCCAATTCTCCAGAGCATCCTATCTGGCACCATCTCATGTAGCAGGGCAGCACGTATGGATTTCAAGTGAAGGTCCAGAGCTAATTGCACTGAGCTGAACCCACAGTGCCAACTTTGCAGCCTGCAGGGTCTGTGTGGTCCCTCAGGCTGACGGCCAGCAGCCCAGCCCCTTGATCTTTGTTGGTGCCCCTACAGGCACCATCCTACACAGACAGACAAGGGTCCAGAGCACTGATAAACTGCGGGAGGAGCAGTGGTAAACTGCGCATGTGCTAAATAAGTAGCACTCAGATATCAGTGTCATGGGACCAGGCACTGTTAGACTGAAGGGAGGACAGCTGAGCTGCCCAAGAGCTAAGCTAGGAACAAAATCACCTCCATCTTAGAGCACTGCACAGGCTCCGCAGAAAAAACAG